TATTTGTAATTATCTAAAATTAAAAATTATAGATTAATAAATTTTAAATTTAAATTATTTAATTAAAATTAAAAAAAATCTATTTTTATATAAAAATTACTACTTTTACTACTATAAATTATTATATATAAAACTTTAATAATAGTAGATTTATATAAGTATATAAGAATAAAATTTTAAAAACTGATTTAATAATTTATTATAATCAGTTTTCAAGTTTTTAATCTTATATATTTATATAAAGTAATTTATATTAATTATAATTTATTATAATAATATATTTGTTATATTATATAATTAAAATTATAAGAAAAATATAGTAAAAATAATAAAATTTTATATAAAAATAAAAATTTAAAAATTATAATACCTTATTAGAAGAAATTTTTAAAAAATCTTTTTGTGCAATTTCTAATCTTTCTGACTGTTTTGGAGAAGTAAAAAAAGCTAAAAGATGTTTAATTTTTGTTATTAATTTTTTTGCTGGCATTAATCCTTTTCCAATTGCTAATTGTAATATATGTGCTGAACATTTAATATGATATATTTCTAAATTTAATAATTTAATAGCTTTTTTAAAATTTGTTGCATTATCAGTTGTAATACTAATTACTTTAGATTCTATTTTCCATTCATTCATAATATTATTCAACATATCTTTAATTGTTTCTCCAGTATGAGGATATTCATATTTGTAAATTCCAAGAACAATTTCATTAAGTTTAAATTCATTATCTATCCAGTAACATGTTACACCTAAATATCCATCTCTACTATAAGAAGTCTATAAATCATAAGTTAAAGAACATGAAATAGCTAAATTAATTTTTTGAATAAGTGTATTTAAAGAATAATTATAAGCTTCATATATCATTTGTTTAACAAATTTATTGGTTGGTAATTTATAATTTGGATCTAAAGAAGCTATAAATATTTGAAATTTTTTTGATTCTAATATATTTAATGGTTGATCATCTTCAATAATAAATTCTACTAAAGCTTGATTTTGTAATTTTTGTTGCATAGGATTTTGAAATGTATACTTAATATTTTGTTGATTTGATTTAGTAAATTTTGTATTGTTATCTTTTGTAATTCTATAAATAGCACCTAAATGATCCCAAAAATTTTCAGTAGAACCACCTCCTGTAACAATAATTTTATTACATTTTGCTTGTCTATTGTTGTGTATTATTTTAACAGTACAATGACCAACTGTATTTGTAAGATTATTTTTATCTTGAAATGGATCAAAATAATTCCAGATTTTGCTTTTTAATTTAGCAACTTTATGCATTGGTAATGGTATATAATTACTAGATAATGTCTTATTATCTATTATATTATCAGGAGCAGAAAGATCATTTGCTATCATATCATCTAAATAATCATTATTACTTGAAAGATATTCTTCATCGCCAATATGTTGAGAAACTGATCCTTGTTCTATTTCATTCTCACTATTTAATACATCATCATGATCAGACCCAACTTCATCCATAGCATCCATAATTAAAAAAAGCTTATTTTAAACTTAAGTTTTACTTATTTCTTATTAAATTGGTATGTATCATATAGAAACATAAAAATTATAAATTATTCTCAACTTATGCTTATATATATGTATTTATTAAAGTAGTAATATAATTAATATTTCTAAATAAATTATTTATTTAAGCTTATTGAGTTAAATTAAACTTTATTATTACTTACAATCGTACAATGTAAATAATTTTAAGCTGCAATTATAACTTATAGAGACAAAATATAAACATTGGAATCTAATTTTATTAAAATTGATAATTTAAGAAATATATGTAACTTAATAATTGTTACATTACAAATTACACCAAGAAAAAAATTTAAAATTTAAATTTATGTAATCTTAATTAAGTAGTACATTAAATCAAATATCTTTTATATTATCAATAAATAACAATGTTAATAATTTAGGATAGATTTGATTTTAATAATTAGGTTTCTTGTGCCAGCACATCCTTATTTTCCACTGTTATACAAACTAAGAAAGGAAATTTTTGGATGTAAATCACAAGAGCAGGTGTAATATAGTATTTTTCAAAAAATCGCTAATAACTAAAAAAAAACTGTCTCTTATGTTCCAACAAAAAAAAAAAATTCTATAGACATGCAGTAATTAATAATTTAATCATATCTGGATTGTATCCAGATACTATCCAGATATTAGCTGGCCTTATCCAGATATCCGAAAACTCCTATCTGGATACTGGATTTAAGATTCAGATATTCAGATATTATCTGGATATCCGGATAATTTCCTCTACAGATCCAACCACTACTCACAACACATCTTTAAACTTCTTAGATGCTGGTATATAGCAACTAATATACAATTTATTATATTCAATATAATTGTACAAGAAATATTAGGATTAACTAACATTATATAAACCAAACAAATAACAGACAAACAAACTAATTATGTTATCAATAATATAATTATACCTATCTTTAAATATTGAATATATAATATAGTCATACTTTACAATATATATAACAAGATTTTGTCAAAATATCTTATTGTTGCCAAACACAAATCCAAACTTCCAGTTACTACTTTCAACAGTATAATGCTCAACTATAACATATATGAAATCAAAAATATATAGGACATACAGCTACAACATCACATCAGCAACTTTCTTCTTTGATTTAACAAAACAAACCTATTTGAGTTATCATCCAAATAAGATTACAACAACTACCAACATTCTTCAACACCCCAACTCTTTCATAGATGAAGCCAATAAACATACTACAACATTTTAAATTATTCAACTTCTAAGACACATGCAGCTTATAATCTCTGCTTATTTAATACAAACTTATATATTAACATACCCATATACCTTAATCAAAACTCTTTTACATACATATTCTGACTACAACAACTTCAAAAAACAGTTATGTAACAAACTATTCTATATTTTGAACAACTTACATCATTTGATAACTTCATACTTCTGAATTGGACACATATCTCACCTAAACTTAAACAAATTTCTACTGAACAAAAACCTAAATAGTTTATTAGACTAGAAAACAAAATTATTACAAACAATCATACTAGATAAATAGACTCATCATTAAACCTTCCTACCTTTAATTCTCTGTCATTCACAACAGACCATTAACTCTAAATCTAAACCATGGTTAATTACTTTTAACTATAACTATCAAGAAATAATTATTAGAAAAGCATGCAAATATAATACTAATAACAATACTATTTCAATTACACACTGGCTGATCAAACATAACACCTTTTATACTAGCTTTTACCTACTTTCAACTATCAATTGTACATGATGTACAGGATGCATACACAACTCAAACAAAATTCAAAACTATTGCAATTTTAACATTCTAGCTTATTTTGCAACAAAATTTCTAGAACAGAAAAAACATAACAATATAAAAGAACTTAACTTAAATACAAACTATCTAGACCTTATTTATTTTATTGTTTTATAATTACCCTTATTAATCCTACCATTACCTACTATTATACTCAATAATACATCTATATTTAATCTATTTAAAGTTAATTCTTCTTCTATTAAACTTTAGAAAATTGTTAATCTCAATAAGAGAAACACTAACTTCATATTCTACACAGATGGATTAGTCACTAATCTTGCTACTAACAGATGTTCTATGAACATCAAATAGGTACAAATTCACAATAATAGAATACTTCAATCATATTCTTTCTGTATTAAACTCTGGCCATTATTCTACAAAGCAGAACTTATGGCAATACTATCTGTTATTTTTACATACCCTCACAATAGCAATATACAAATTTATACAGACTCCCAATCAATTATTATAAAATTTAGCAAAATTACTAGTTATCTAATCCCAACACATAAACAATACTCTTATTTATATTGGCTTATTTGGCACTCATTGCTTAACTTAATTCAATTCTATCAATATATAGTTACTTTTCACAAAATACCTGCACATAGTAACAATACATTCAACAATAAAGCTGACAAGCTAGCAACAAACCACAACTCTATTGCATATCTTGACTTCATATACAACAACCTATATAACACCTTATATACTTTAAAATATGAAAAGTATATAATTGAACAACTGACTAGACAAGCCATTAAAAACATCTGCAATGCACATATAATTGCCATATAATCATTATAACACTGCATAAGCAACATTATTCTATTGTTACTACAAATTGACTAGAATGCAGCATAGTTATATTTTAATAACAATACTAAAACAAATACAGCTATACTGGCAGACATTAATGTCTTTATACCTATATTAGGCCTATTTCATGTCTTATTAAATAGTTAAGAACAAGTTGTAATAACCTATTACTCATTTTTTAAAAAACTTTTTTATTCAATTTTCAAAACAAAAAAGAATATTACAGATTTTAAGGAACAAAAAAATCTCACATGTTTTAAGAAACAAAAGACTTTTGCAAAAAACCAAAACAATGAAATATAAACCTTCTACTTAAATTCATCTATTAAGAAAGATTAAAAATAAAAATAAAAATATTAAAAAAATTTGGATCTATGTGTAAAGATGTTGAATATAGAATGTTAGTTGATCTTTTTGACAATATTATTTCAGACACTTTAGATATATATGTGATTCTTTTTTGTTTAGGTTCTTTTAATAAATATATTAAACCTATTTTTTGAATATAGACTTTTACATTATATTGAAATTATAAAAATTATAATAAGACTTTTTTGACATTCTTGTCAGACATTTTTATTGAGAAACTAAACAACATCCAATGTTAAAGTCTTTAAAATGTTTTTTGTAAACTTCAATAATTATTTTATTAAAAACTTTTATAGCTAAATACAAGCAAATATAATGGCTAATAATAGTACTGAAAATATTATCCAATAAGCATATGTTCTAGATAAGTTAACAAAAAATCAGAATTGCTTTATTTTAATAATGTAATAACTTTATTAATAAAAAATAAATATTTTTTTAAAAAAATAGATATAAATAAGCACTTGCCATTTAAAGAAATATTTAATCAAAAAAAAGACACTTATTCATATACTTCTTTTATTCTAGAATACTTAATGAATAAAACATTACTATTCTTGTTAGATTATTTTTGACAAACCTTTTAGTATATTAGTACAGTCTCTAGTATAACAAATAATAACAATAGAAAACAAAAAAAAAAGACCTTTAAAATAAAACTTGCTGTTTTAGGTAAAAATGTTGATATTATGTGCTTGCCTATAGGATATAGTACTGGAGTATCTCTTTTAACAAAATTTTGTGATGATTGTTATGAAACTTTGAGTAAAAATAAAGATAGAACTATGTTAATCTGTGATCATGATTTTTATTGATATTGCTATAGTAAAATGAAATATGACTGTCAATACTGTAAAGAATACTACAAAAGTAAAATATATAAGAACATTAATTCATTTCTAGAGGGTTTTGAAAAAAAAACTAACACACTTACTAATAATTATGAACTTGAAAGAGAATTCCAAGATTCAAAAGAAGATATAGAAGAACATGAGAATATACAAGAAAATAAAATAGTAATAAATTTATAAAGTGCATTAGATAATGTAGATAAATGATAATAACTAAAAACATATAATTTCTAATTTTTTTACCTAAATATTTATTAAATTATTATTGTAAACCATCAAATTTAAATATATTTATTTTTTAATATAATCACATTTGCTTTTTATATATAACTGAATTGATTTAACCCAAATTAAAAGTCTTAAAATATATCTTAAACATAAGAATGTGCTAGTAAAAAAAAAATTAATAATTATGCAAGCAACCAGATTTACTTACTAAATTTGAAATAATTAATAAAAATTTCATGCCTTTGCATATAAGTGAACTACCTTTTCCAATTTGATCCAAAGAGATACAAAAGTTTTAAATGATGTCTTGGAGCTTGAAGAACATGCTTGTAAAAAAAAAAAAGCTTTAATTATGCAAGCAACCAGAATTGTTTCTAAGTTTGAAATAACTAGTAAAAATTCTATACTTTTTCCAATTTTTATATATAAGTGAACTACCTTTTCCAAATCGATCCAAATCGATCCAAAAGTTTTAAACGACGCTTTGGAACTTGAAGAATGTATAGTAAAGAAATATCCCCCGGTTATGCGAAAAACTGGAGTATTGTAATACTATCTAAAAAAGACTTTTCGTATAACAAACACTATAACTCACCGTTAATGTTACACCATGTGAGGGATTATATCCATTACACTTGAAGTTACATATAAATAATTTCAGTTTAACTGATCATCCCGCGTGAACGACGGGGCGAAGGATTATATCCATAACATACATTTTAGAGTAAACTCAAATAAAGGATTAATGTGTAACATTGACGGTTCCTCCTGGGATTTACTTATTTTTGAAAGTGATACAAACCCAAAAAAGGAAATTCGATACAAAAATAAACTAAGTACG